CTCTTCCATAGGTGGTTAACACCATAATTATTTAACAGTGACCGGGTGGCAGTGCTCTCTGTTAAAACGAATGCTTTTGGATTGCGATCTTATCATTTAAGTATTTATCTACTGACAACTCATATAAAACCTAACTTAATATGGTACCCATTAGATGGTTTATAAGTTAACACAATGTTCCACAAAAATGTGACTAAAAAAATATCATGATGCTAGTTCAAACATTACGTCGGGTAAAAAGATGGTGTTTTGCTCTTTGTCTTGAAGAGAACGTTGTGCCAGAGGGTTGTCATAAGAAAATCTATTGTCGGTCATTATGGAGAGTCAGGAACTTTAACAATCTGACAGCGGATCCAGGCAGGAGTAAGGCATTCCGCTTTACCTGTTATAGTTGATAAGATCTAGTAGGTATAGTCACTGAGTCTTAACCGTCTGCCTTCTACACTCCAAAATCTAAATGTAAGAAGGCTTGGAGAAATAAGAAGAACTTCATCTAGTGAACTGATGGAAAAATGATCAAATTATGTAGGTATGTGAGACCTAGTTGTGTTCAATAGTTCATGGTCTTAGCTTCCTTGTGAAGATGTCATAAGAACAAATGTAAGAGCACTGTGTAATTTTTCCACGACGCACGATAGAAAATTATAACTAAATATTATGCATTTTAGATCTGGAAATAATATACTCTTTTTAACCTATTAAAATTCAGTATGGTTAATATATTTGACCTAAGGAATTAAATGTATTGAGACTAGTTAAATATCCTAAGACCTGATTTCAGTCGCTCATTTTTCAGATTTATAGTAGGTGAAGTATTTGAGACACTTTGAATGCATTTTGAGTAATAGTTAAATAAAGTTGTTATTTATGTTGTGTTGTAATTTGGATGCATTGTTTGTGTCTACAAGTTACTAACTTTCTAGTTTCAATTACCTGTCTAGTATCCCGCATTTGAAGAAGACAAATACTTCAGTGAGTAGGATTCGTTGAAACAAACAATGACCGTGACACCTCCTAACATCCATTGTGAGCGCGTGAAGTGTTCGCAGACAGCGTGGCATCGGCAGAGTAATAGACACCGTCGCCGTCAACAATATTATTGTTAAACAAAGCCATAGAGCACACAAAACGTCTTCCACTTAGAAGCGCTGCAAAAAGAGAAAGTCGTCGTGTGAACGCGACGCGGCCGTGATCCGCTTGTCACAACACAAAGGCGGGGCCTGACGTGCGCGGGCGCGGCATTGTGCGCGTAAACTGAGCCGCCCCCTCCCCGCGCCCCGCCCCGCTGCGCGCGCGCACTGCCGCCGGACGCCGCGCGTGAGAACACACCTTCGCAGCATTGTGCTCCTACACAAAACATATCTTTCATTTATTATACAAAACAATATACTTACCTGTCATATTACACGTTTCATGAAGTTAGTAGCTAAGTATCTATTTGTACATTATTAAACAATGAAAATCTTTAAGTAGACTGTGATAGTGATATCTTAAATTTTCTCAGACGAGCTTCGCTGGTATCTATACATATACGTTTTGTTAAAAAATACTGTTATAATTATGCTAAAACTGATGCAAATAATTTCAGTATCGAGGATGATGGATGAACTCAGACAACTCTACCGGTACTCGAATTTTGATTGCCTGTTTCGAAGTAAAAAGTTATTTATTTATTTCATCAGTATGATGGAACTCGAGGGGTTTCCGACTAACTACTGTAAGTAGATACGTTACTTTCAGAAATTTGTGAAACTCTACTAATATTTTTTTTCTCAAAATTACACTCTATGCACATTCGAAAATTTATACTTACCAGTTCCCTGCATCACATTCAAACCTTGCTGAAACATATGTGATGTAAACAATAACTTAGAAATAAAATGGTTAGGTACAATCAAGTAGTTGAAAATGTTACAACGATAGTTTTTGGTTTTAGGTACTCATTTATTGCAAAAAGTGTCGTATTATATTACTGGTTGTCCACAAGAGCTGCTAATGAGCTGATATAAATTATAATGATCCACCACGATACGGGACTAGTTATCTATTTATATATTTGTGATAAATAAATCACCGTTATTGTTATGCCATGTAGTAGGCTGCGTTCAGAATAGATAGCTGCCCAAAGTTTAACCTTTGATGCTGTCGTTAAGGTACAAAGTGTAGTGACCTCCTTATACAGTAAGTATTAGACTTAGTAGTAGAAAGACGTGGTTTATCTAACGAACTTTGAACAATTTAAAAACAAACCGTGGCGCATAGCTCACATACTTAGAATAGATTAAAGTTGTGTAGTTTTTTAGTCCGTGAAGTAATTAGTGATTGGATTAGATTAAATTACCAATGACATCAGAAAAGGTAACTGAATTAAAATGCCGGCGCATATTTCATTTTTCTAGATGGCCACTAGATGTTTATTTGTCAATTGTCCCTGAAACGAATTAGATTGTTGTTTTGGTGATTTGTGGTTTTTCGGTCAGTTCATTCATCCCAGTTTAAGTACTGTAGATGCAGTGATTGAGGACGTGTGCGGACTTTGAGGATCAAGATGTAGGTAGAGAAATCCAAATATTTTCTAAAAAGCTAAACTTCTGATATTTGTAAATGTTCAATCCTCTTTTAGTAAAAATACTACTTAATCTAATTTTAAATCGGTGTTTATTATGTCCAAAAAACATCAGCAGTGTTTTGTTTTTATTTTGGAAATAATTATGTAGGTTTAAATAAATACATGAAATAAAGAAAACAATATTTAACCGTCCCAATGAATGCGTTGAAGTTTTTTAACAATAGCAAACAGGACTAATAATTAAACAATTATGCCAAATATGAGGATATCGAGGACACTATACGACAAGGTCTCAACTTTACTTATGTAAATAACTTTTAGAGTGAGATTGTGTCGTGATTAAAGTATTAATATTCCAGTAATCATTCGGGAGTTATGAAAGAACAAACATTTAGGTGTTTGATTGACTTAGATTCGATTTTTTATTTAGGTAAATTAGACTACATAGGTAATAATTATACGTTTCTTACTTGCCTTCTATCAAGATAGTTAATGTGCTTGTTAGCACAATGGTTAACTCTTACGTGTGGGAGAGCCATGCTTCGGCACGAAAGGGCCGGCTCGACCGGAGTGAGAGACCATCACGGCCGATCAGAATATAGATGTGAAACAATACTTGCGTTGTGTTTCGTGGTATAAATGTGCTACCGGTGGCCAATTATCCCCCCCCTACTCCCTGAATCCCCAACAATCCTCAAAAGGTCGGTAACGCAGTTGTAACCCCTCTGGTGTTTCAGGTGTCCATGGATGACATCAATTGCTAACGATCAGGTGATTCGTGTGCCCGTTTACCGGCTTATACCATAAAAATTGAATTTTATGTGAACCGCCTTTGTCTGCAATAGTGGCAACTATGTGTTCACAACTTACTCATTTGAAACTTGTTCAGCAAACTTACGTAGTCAGTAACTGGGTATGCTGAACAATATTAGCGGTTATTTAAATACTGTTTGGTCATCCAAGAGTACCTGCCTGAATAATTTTGGCTCTATGTATGTAATTTTGTTATTCGTTATTGTCTTAATCACTACATAGTATAAATCGAAGTCGCTACCCGCCGTCTGTCTGTCCCTGTGTATGCTTAGATCTTTAAAACTACACAACAGATTTTGATGCAGTTTTTTTCAATTGATATAGTGATGCTTAAGGAAGGTTTATATGTATAATACATGCATATTGCACCCGTGCGAAGCCGGGGCGAATCACTAGTTTCATTATAATACAATCAAAGTCAAATCATTACTTGCTTAACAACAAGAAAGGCCTTAATTTGTCTGTAAACATCAACAACTCAGTGAGGGATACTTTCTTGAATAAACAAAATTTATAACATTTTGAGAAATGTTGATTAAATATTTTAGACGGGATTTAAATAACTAAATATGTATTCTTTTTATTTACAAGTTTAGTTGTAAATATTTATGTATTTGTATCAATAGGTAATTATAACTAAGTACGTACAGCTTCTAGAAACGATCAGCTACGTTTTACAGTTTGTAGCACAGGCAGCGTGCACCTCCGGCTCGGTAGCCAACTTGCCAACTATCTTATCTACTAAGATATAAATTCTTTGAACTACTACAGCGCCATCTGTGCTATAAAATACGAGTTATAAGTTTTATTGAACTTATAACTACAAAAGGAGCTAAAGGCAAAGGGAAAATCATATTTTCTTACACCGCGATAGAAAATTAGACAATTTTTCTAAGAAAATCTCTGAAAGGATAGATTATAATTTAATATTTGACTCCTGATGAATGAATAAATCTAACTTTGTGTGTGTCTAAGAAGTAATTAGTTTTGCAATTACTACACAAGTAGGTACCTGCATAATTAAAATGAGTGCAAACACAAGTGTACCCGTAGAATGTATGTAAGTACAGGCAATGAGGCGAGGCAGGCGCAGGCGGGCAGTATTGTGATATGTCATTATGTGAGTAGTTGTATGCAGGCAGGTAGAGTTTCAGCAGAAAACGACCAATGATTGATAATGCAGCATTATGAGCAGACGCAGGCTTTCACGCGCCTCCGCCGAGCGAGCGGAACACCGCGCCCCCCTCCCGCCAGCGCCTATTCATTTCTTACAATTAATCAAAATTAAATCAACCGCCACAATACAACTCATTTCAATGTCTAACTACTCGCGGTAGAGTTCCATTTCAGATGGCAAGCGGTTGAATAGGCGTGTCCCCGCGAAGAAATCTGGCCAATACAGTGCGGTAACAAAATATCCGTATTGGCTATTAGTAGGCTCCGCCCGTGCGGGCTGGGGGGTTGTCGCGCGCGGCGACAAACGACGTAACTCTGCGGGGCTCCGCGGCGCTTACGTCGTAATGTAGGGTAGTGCGGCACTCGGGGCTCAGGAGCGTAAGGGCGTAGGAAGTGCGCGCCGGGCGGTGGATACGATGTGTCGGCAGTGAGCCGCCGCCGGGCTGACTCACGCGCCCGGGGGGTGCTCGCGAGCGGTACTACTGGCCGGGCGGCGCCGCGCACAGAAGCGCTGCAGACGCCGCGGCGAGCGCTCGTGTCGCGACAAACTGATAATCAAAACGATATTTTTCGCGAATTTTCCACCGCCTTGGAAAAACTCTAAATTATTTTTCTCAATTTTAGAATCTTCAGCCTAAGACTTAGGCCTAATTTTTATGTAGACAAAATAGTTATTATTTAGAGGTAGGAAGTGAAATAAAACTTTTAGAGAGTGTGAAGTAAATGATAACATTAGCATTAAGAACAAATTACAGCACGACCTAAGTAAATTGTGATAACATAAATGATAAGGCAAGATGTTCAATGAGAGGAGAGTAATGTAAAGTAGCGCAGAGAGCAAGCAGAGACATGCAAGCAATGAGTGCTAACGCGAGCGCGCCGCGTGCGCCGCAGCGGTCGCCGTTCGCGATCCAGGAGCTGCTGGGACTGTCGGACAGCCGCGAGTCCCGCGAGCGCTACTTCGAGAGCCGCGATGGGGACCGCGTCCTCAACCTGTCCGAGAGCCGCGAGCCGCGCGCTGCGTACGCGCCGCAGTTCCCGCTGCCCGCGTCTATGGCCAGCCGCGTGGCGTACGCCGCCGCCTTCAACGCGCAGGCAGCAGTAGCTGCCGCCTTCCTGCCAGGACCGCCACTATTACACCCCCCGCCTGGTAAGTTACTGTTCTACTTGTACTGCAACTCTTCGCAAACTTACTACAACGCAGTTACGACCCAAACACAGCTGACTCACAATCTGTTGAAGTAACTTGCAAGAAGATTCGTTACAAGACTGTGCCGTACTTATACACATCGATCTCAAATATATAACTGCTGACGGATGCTCTACTAGGGGAATTCAAATGCGTATTATAAATATGCTCCAAACGTATGAGCCTGTACATCCTTATGGTAGCTCTATCTATTCTGATAGATGCGACATGCGAATGCGTGGGACGAACCAAATAAAACATGTTTCTTAGTACGGTGTATGCAAAATGAGTATTGTGCCGTCGGCAGTGTTCAGGTGTGCCTGCAGGCTGTATGTGTGTATGTATGTGTGTATGTGTGTGTGTGGTATTGTGTGGCCGCGCCGTTTAAACTGTCAAATACCAAGCGGTCACCGGTGACCGCAACCTATTGTTCTATAATTGTGTCTGCAAAACCGGTACTCGACGAGTTAATTAGCGTTTTGTCCTATTTGTTAATTAGCGTACAATACCGCGCTTTGACGAGCCGCCGCCGCACCGCCGGCTCCGGTTACCGGCTGCCACTCGCGCGACTCGCTGCACTTACATCTACAACTTGATTCCTATAATAACTGCTCAATAATGAATACTATCCACGAACCACGCACACAATTCTATGTTGCGTGGTTCGTGGATACAGTGGCGGATACAAAATATCAGATATTTAGTACTTACTTCTTAATAACTAAATGAATGTCTCATACCATTAGTGAACATAAGTACTTAAAGTCAAATTCAAAGTCAAAGCGCTCATTGCAACTTACGTATAATTGTACAATTATTTAGAAGGAGAACTCATAGATCTAAATCCTGAGAGGCTAAGTCCACAGACAAATTGTAAAACTCAATAAAAGTTTTTCGGTACAAAGTTGTAAAATGTCGGTCGTAGCAAGAACTGCTTCTGTGACGATGATGCGTAGCGCCTTACACACTATATAGTTAATGTCCCAATAAAAAAGTTTGTTATTATATAAGTATTATATTAAGTTTTGTAGTCACTCCTTATTACTCTTTTTAGAACAGGCGTAAGATAATTTTGTTATGACAATTTGAAACTAATAGTTAACCGTTAACCGACTCCATAACCATAATATGTTTTCGTAGTATCTTGATGAATATAGGTTAAGATTACAGTAAAATAAATTGAATTTGCTTTATCTATACTCCCCAAGAGTAAGACAGCGCACATTTGAAATGTAAAACAATAGATGTACTAAATGAAAATTATGTCAAACGTTAAATTTGAAATATTTAAACTCAACAAAAATTGGAAAACAAGATCATTATGATATTTCCAATAGGAATACGATTACTTGTATGTTTCGCAAATGTTGCACCTAAACAAAAAAGGAAAAATGTGTAAATTACATTTTTTATTAAAGTATTACACCTAATTGTAAGTTTCCAATTAATAAATTATTTGAAATTCATGGTAGACCTTATACCGAGTGTGATGGTAGTTTGCCGTCGGCGGCCACAGCCGACGTGAGGCTACACCGCGCAATAGAGACATATTCATTATATCTTGTAGTTATAATACACATCTGCCACAGCACTGAATTCTTATACTGCAATAAGTAAATTACGTTATTTCTTATTAAGAATTTCTACATTTTAATCATGAAATTTTAGCTCAATACTTAACAAATAATAAGGCAACCTAATCTCACGGTAAAGTATTGATATTACGTTACTTTCTGTGTATATAGGTAAATCATAATTCCTTAATATTTAATCATAGCTTTTGCAACCTTTAAAAATGATAACTAAACAAAATATTTGTTGCAACTTGTAATAAACGACTTATTTATACATTCGAAATGTTTCTGTTAAAACAGAAACCATTGTACAACAACGTTATAACAACATACAACAATTTGTAACAGTCTACCATCATGGTTACATTACAATATAGTAATATGGAGACGTTAATAAAATAATAAACTATTATACATATAATGACATTACAGAAATAATCAGATAAACAATATGTATAAAGATACATTTGATATAAAAATTGATTCCCTCATATATGAGACGGTTTTGTTCAGTAGTAGACTTTACGATGACGATTTTCATAATCAACTACTGTTTTTTCCACCAGTAATTCATACGTCAATGTACTCAGCTTGTTATCTTATAAACTATCTCATCATTGGCTATGCCTAATACAGTCCTTTAGCTTAATTTCCATTTGTTTGTCATAACATGCAGACGTAATAACTCATTCAGAGTTAAATATGTTGAACACATACAGAAACTGAACATTCACAACAATTTCATTGGAAATAAAATAGAAGAGATGTTATAAAAATGAAATTTGTGGCCAAGTGTTTCATTGTCTGAAAGGAAACTTGGATAGAAATATAATCTATACATCTAATAAAATTGTAGGAAAGTGCAAACAGTACATTGGTTATTTTTTTTAAATAATGTGTGGGACGTGATCTACAAACGGCATCGAAACTAAAAATATGCTTACTATAATTATACTATTTCACGCGAACGAAGTCGCGGTCAGCGGCTAGTATACATATGTATAATGTAATAGCTACTTACCGTCATTTATGAATTTCGTGTAATTCGGACTAAGATTAATAGACGTTTTCAAGACAAAACTATTGCTGTTTGATAGTCGCTCGCGCCGAATTTGTTGTTCATCTGTAATCCACTGTTAAGTTGTTATATAATAATATTATTTACCTGTTTTTCTGTGTTTCACCCCGACACTGTACAAGACAGATGATGTCTAAATATGCCTACAATTTGCAACAAACTCTTTCAATGTTTCAACAGTCCGTATCGGAAGTTGTTATAAATCGACCTGTAATCATACATTAAGGCTCGGCCTACAGTTCCTCTGATTTTTTTTAACAAGGAGCTCATTAATTCGAAGGCTAATGAAGGTAATTGTGTGAATAATCTAGCAACACCTGCGTACGCGCAAAATAATAATCGCTTGTATCGATATAATAGAATAATCACTGCGCGGAGGTGGCCCGACTGGTAGCAACCTTCACATTTATATGAACATTATATGTATACGTACAAAGTAGGCACGTACTATATAATATTTTATACTTTGTAAGTCAATCTTTAAGTCAAATAAGAATACTTACCTAATTACTTAATGGTTAACTAACACTTTTTAAAATAAAGAGAGCATATTGTAGTTAGTGCGTTTAGTAAAATAATTCCTAATGTTGAACTAAACGATTTAATGAAAACAACGATATGATTTGCAATTAGTAATATTTTATAGGTTTAACTATTAGATCATTGCACTTAAAATAACTAACGGAGCACGGTAAGGCGTCAGTTTGGTTGGCATTACAAAAGATTGGCAATGTTAAAGTGATATCGTTTAACAAACAAGCAACAATATCGCATCGAATCAAAATAATCGCATCTCATCACAATCTGGACGAGAATCTGCAAGAGAACAGACAAACCCCGCGAGTACATCCACTTAGCGCACAAAAGAAATTCACACACCTACTTATGTGTGACAAAGCGTGTTAGTCTTAACGGAGAATCGGATTGAACCCGGCACAATCCAACACCTCGGCAAAAAAACAAGCCCTTACAAATAGTGGTTGAAAGGAGAGTGGTTCGACTCACACCTCCCAGAATAGGCCTTTGTGAGCCACAAAGAGGCCAAGATAAAGCCTCTTTGTGGCCCAAGATGTGTGATAAAGGGCCAGTGGATCAGAAAGAGGGCATTCACTAAATTAGTGGTCACTCCCACCTTGGTTTGTGATTGATTTCACGTCTCCAGTGACAAGCTGTTTAGGTCTGACATGAATGGCAGACAATCACAAGGGAGACGCTCTACAGACTTCCTACGCAGAATAATATTAGATGTAGTAAGAAACTGACTGGAGTATTCTCATCGCATCTCATTTATGTGTGTCACAGCAGCATAATGTAGATAATTAAATAGTATCACGGTCTTGTGGAATAGAGCAAATTTATTGCTTAGTCGCTATGTACTTTGTTTTACAAATGCCGCGATATGACATATGTTATATGTATCGAGAATTAAAAAGTTATGTTTCATTTCCCAATACATGCATCATGGAATATAGGAGTAGAGTGAAGCGCGATGTAGGTCATATGTTGTCGGGTTCCGTATCGATCGCGGACGGCTACAAATTAGACAAGCACATTAGCAGAGTTATTAGCGAGCCCGCGGACCCCCGGTCCGGGCGGCGCACACTCGCTGATGTGCGATCATTAGCACTCGCTACTGTATCGCTCCGGCCACCAGCACGTTATGGGACCTCATTGATGCAATTTACTTTTAATTAAAATTAACAGAATGTTTACTGATATATTCTTACCATCGTAAGTTTATCGTAATTTTTAAGTTATGTTAGAAAAAAAGTGCTTTACCGTAGCAGTTTATGTAGCACAATTTACGAAAATGATATAATTCTTATTACAGATATTCTAGATGTATTATTATTAGCAAGCATTCGTAATAATATTACAACCGGTCGCACAATATCGTATATCCGCTGCTAGTGACGACTCCTAACCCGAAAGGGTTGTCGGTTATTGGTTCGCATAACCGCTAGTACACACACATATACACACACACGCGCGACTCACATAATGAGTTCCGTTGCGTTGTGTTTGTGTGTGCGCGCTAACCCTTCCCTACAACCAGTTTGTTGGTGTGTGGTGCCAGTTTTAGCGGACGACGTAAAAACTGTTTTCTGAAATAAATATTTCCACAGAATATTGATCAAACAAATGCCATATACAATACACATTAACATCATAGAAAATTATATTAGATTCAGCGCAATCGTTGTATGAATTGAACATCATTAGTTGAAGTATAGTATTCTTTTTATAAATATACATATGTACTACGAATAATAAGGCCATTAGATAAAAAAATACAATTTAGATGAGTA